ACAAAAAAAAAAAAACGCTCAACTGGCCATCATGTGGACTTTGGTTTTCTGTGTGCGACCTTAAACCTCGGTCACAACCGGCCGTACGGGCTCTTACGGGCTGTTTGCGTCCAAATTTTGCTCAGAATCTCACGTCCCACGCAAGTCCTTCTTACGCGATTTCGAGTTTCGAGTAAGCACGTACGGGGGATGTTGGACATGTCCAAAAGATTCTACGAATATAGCCTGGGAACAGCAAGGCCGCAAGCGCTGAGTAAAGTAAAACTCAATGTCTTATTTTGGGCCCACGCTTGAACTAAGCTTACTAAATTGATGTAAGTCTAAGATATTCATTTCATGTGTAAAAGAGATTTACTTTACTTTACTCAAAGTTTCACTTTACTCAGCGCATAATGCAATCCAAGATTCCACGGTTATTGTCAGCTGCAGATTAACGTAAAGCCTCGGTCACAACCGGACGCACGAATTTCAGGATCGTACGTCCCCTGCGATTTTTTGGGTGTTGCGGAGGCCGTGGATGTCGTCGAGGTAGAGGAAAATCTGACTTTCTATATTCGTAGAATCTATTGGACATGTCCAACATCCCCCGTACGTGCTTACGGGCTGTCTGCGAACTCGAAATTGCGTAAGGACTTGCGTGGGACGTGAGATTTTTTTTTCTTTTGTCGACGCTGGGTAATTATATGTTCTAACTGAGGTCTCCAACTTTCCGAAATCACGTCCGTCTTTTCCGTGCTTTAAAGCTCTCTCAAGCGTTCTTCTTATATCCCACGTACTAAGCATAAGTGACGCGGTAGATACAAATTGATTACTTTAAATTGTACAGTTAATTACTTTACATCGGTATTGTACAAAGAAGCCGAAATGTTACTCAAGAACTCTTGGACGACAACATGTATTATAATTTGACCTCATAAAATATCTTTATGGTCTTATGGTCGGACACGACAACACGTAACGGTGCGATCCAACCCACATGGCATATCATCTAATATAGAGTGGGAAAACCAAAAATAAGACTTCAAGTGATTTGGGAAGTTCGACTTACGACAGCACTTATTCACCACTTATTCTCCGCACTCACGTCTCAGCTCCCGTGCACTTCCTGCTTAAAATGACCAGTCAGCTACACTTCCTACACCACTCTACGTAAATGACGTCACAACTTCCGGCACAATCGTTCTTTTCGATAGTCCTCTATTGTTTACTTTGTTAGTAATGGTTCTGATGGCGGTTGATGAACATACTCATATCATCTCAACTAAAACAGCCGACTCGACGGGTGAACAATCTTTTCATAGAAGATCTATGGGGATCTGAGTATGACAAGCAACCAATAAAAGACGGATGGCTATCTATAGTATATAGTAATGTATAGAGAGAGCAGCAGTGTACTAATATTATACATGTATTGTGTTTTCACAATAAATTGAGTACACATGCAATAGTGTATCGTATCAAAACAGCGGCAAAAAATTCAATCTGGCCAATTTATTACAATTTACTACATGAACAAGGGGGAAGTTGAATATCTCGCAGCTAGTTTTAATGTTCCCGCCAACACCAGGTTTATAACTCATTCAGATTCGTTTTTGATTAATGTAAAGGATTCATGTTGATTCACCGTATAGATCTTGGTAATAACAGAAGTTTTTTTATGATGAATTTTTATGATTTTTTATGATTTTTATATGAATTATTGTTCATAATCCCCGAAGAAGGCCCAGGGGCCGAAAGCTCGGATTGTATTTAACAACTATAATGTAGATCTTTCTAGGTGCATCAATATATATACTTCTATAATTAATGTAAACACACGAAAAACTAAAAAAACACGAATTTTAGACCATTTTACCATACTTCCCACCTTAAGTTCGTGTTTTGATATCTGATACCGCTACAAGCATATGTTACTCTTAGTGAGTCTTTTCAGTCGCTCTGCTTGACTTCAAGCGATAAAACACTCCATATCAGAGAACACGCAGCAGGCAGCATGCAGGGGGTATTTGGAATCTAGGCCAGTAAATTCTATCATGGCGTCGCCATTACTTACAACCTTTGCAGTCATGGTGGTGAACATCGTGAGTTGCCAGGTTCAAGTTACCACCAAGTATGGCGTAATTCAAGGACGTATGCACACTATAGAGGGAAAAACGCTCAGCACGTTTTTCGGAGTGCCGTTCGCCAAACCTCCTCTGGGCAACCTTCGATTTAAGAAGCCTCAGGCTGCAGAGCCGTTGACTGGTGTGTTGAATGCTTCTGACTTTGGCAATTCCTGCATGCAGCGTGTGTCGTCAGAATTTCCATTTCCCAAAAATGTAAGTATATACTGTATAAGGACATGCAGAGAGATAATATATATATATATATATATATATATATAGAGAGAGAGAGAGAGAGAGAGAGAGAGAGAGAGAGAGAGAGAGAGAGAGACCTCGCTATCAGTTCGCTGCACCCTTTTTCTTATAGGAGCTGTCAGAAGATTGTCTGACCTTGAACTTGTACGTGCCTGGAGACATCTACACCAACAACAGTAAGGCAGTAATGGTCTGGATATACGGGGGCGGCTACAACGCCGGGGCCTCTAAGAAATCCAACTTCACCAAATTCTGTGAGTAGGGCAATGTAGGATTGATAGGTGCCGCATATAAAATATCATACTTAAATTACCTGTTGAATATTGGCGTTTTTCTATGTTATGTTTTCTATTCTATACCCGAACACAACCGTGCAGTCCTTATCTGGAGCTACATGATGTTAGATCCTAGATTTATGTTAAGCATTCAACATAAAAAACCTTTAAGAACGGCGGCATTCTTTACCTACGTGTAGTTCCACGTAATTATATTTGACAGTGATGGCCCAGGGAGGCGACGAAGACTTTTTTTTTTTTTTTTTTTTTGGGGGGGGGGGGGGAGAAAGCCATGCCTGCCGGGGGTATCACACTGACAACAATAGAGTGTCGGGATTCTTAATTTAGGTGAAATAAATTACAATGACAATTATGACGTTCAATTTAAACATGGCTATTCAATCCGTTTGTCTAAGACTCTATTCCCACAGATTTAAGATCGATCTATCCCCGCGGGGAGTCTCACTAGATTACTTTCAGATAATCCGACTTAAATGTCCGTCTCGCCTACTACAAGCTGTAAGAGGGTAATTAACTTTCGTGTCCGCCCGGCTGACAGCTATTTAGCTTGAACCCCCAGGGAGTTAGGTCGATCTAAAGTAGGTCGATCTAATCTATGGAAATGGGGTGTAAGTGCATTAACGCAACGTGAATCGACTTAATTAATTCTAGCTGTTCAGGGTGACGTCATCGTAGTATCAGTCAACTACCGCGTGGGTCCGTTTGGATTCCTGACCACTGGTGACGTCAACGTTCCTGGTAACGCTGGACTCTGGGATCAAATAGAGGGACTGAAATGGGTGAGAGATAACATCAAACACTTTGGCGGAGACCCTAACAGGTAAGCAGAAAATACTAATAGTTTTACCCACAAATACAGCTGCTCTTTTCGAAATATGAAAACGTTTTTATGATAAATAAATATAGCTAACCTTAAGTACCAATAGGTCCTGTGGAGTGGTATTTTTATTACAAGTAAGAACAACTGTAAGTCACACGGTGAACGTTTCTATACAAAGTGTTTCACTAAATCTTTAGTTCTGTTGATGGTATGTTGATAATTGTTTTAAAATTACAGCTTGACTCTTGAAGATGTCGTTGGAACGGTTTCACTTAAAACACAAAAGTACTAAAATACCAGCACGCATAAAACACGTACGGATTTGATCAATCTAAAAAAACCTCTTCATCCATACACACCAGTTATTTTACATATAATCATTTAAATCAGTGACGTACATTTTGCTGGGTTTTACATTCGATTACATTCATTTCTAGGGTAACCATCTTCGGCGTTTCAGGAGGTGCAGGTTGCGTCACTCAGCTTTCAGTAACATTGGCTGCCAAGGGTCTTTTCCATCGATTCATTTCCATGAGTGGCACTGCTCTCGGCGATTGGGCCTTTGGGAACGGGCTTGAAGGCATAACTACCAAAATGGGTGACATTCTAAACTGTAATGCCTCGGCTTCAGATACCCCTAAACTTGTAGCTTGCCTTCAAAGAGTAGATAAAGCACTCCTACTGAAAGCTAGTTTGCAGGCGGCTGCTAATACCTCTGGGTTTCGTCCTGTCGTGGACGGCGACATGTTTCCTCGGCCTGTCGCCAAAATGCTGCAGGACACTAACTCTGAAGTAGCACGTCACTTTCGGTCCCTTGACTATATGGGTGGTTTTTTAAACTCGGACGGTGGAGGACTGTTCCCATTCTTCTCTTTCAATTATTCCCAAGGAATCGATCCTGATTTCATGCGGGACGTGTTGATTCCCGACGTAGCCAAGTCGATTTCTCCTCACCATCAGGCAGAGATTGCCCAAAACATACAGAAAACCTATTTTGCATCAGCATCCGGGGATTGGGGTGCCACGGCACGTGGCTACGTGGATCTCAATACCGATTTAGCGGGTGGAGTTCCCACTATCGAGTTACTTTCTTACCATCTGGCGTTGAACACTGCTGGGTCATCGTATTTGTACTATTTTACAAAGGAACCATCGTTTGGGCACTTATATCCAATGCCAACCTGGTTTCGTGGACCAAATCATGCGGAAGAGATGGCCTTCTTGCTCCATGGGGAGTTATCAAGGTCAATTAACATAACATTTACAGAATATGAGAAGGATTTATGTGACAAAATGGTGACATACTGGACGAACTTTGCCAAGACTGGGTAAGTTGTTTCATACACGTGTCACTTGGTGCCACACGTTTTAAGAGAAACAAGGTATTGTTATGTTCTGTAAAAATCTTTAATACTCAAACCAATGTAAATGTTTTTTAAGAGAAACAAGGTAAAGTTATGCTGTATGTAAATGTTTAAAGGGATAATAACTCTTCGTTTCGGCCAAAAAATGAATTTTCCTGGAGTAAACAACAATTTTCCCCTACTTATCAATGGTTAATGAATCCATTTTTACATTCAAAGTTAGTCCCTGTTTTTTTTTCTAAAAAGTTTGGTTTTTTGTTAAAATCTCTTAAGAGATTTTAACAGAGTATAGCCATCAATGGAGGTCACGTGGTCTAAAGACAAGCTCAGATATCAGAAAAAAAGCTATAACTGCCATATTTGTGGTAAAACAGAATATATTATATTTCTATGAGTTATTCACAATGTTTTTATTGTGAAATATAGATCTCATACGAAGAGTCATTATCCCTTTAATACCCATATCTTCTTGTTTAATAATAATTCACGAACTAACACATAGCCAGTTTGAAACTATTTTGAAACTTATTGCGTGTGGATTGTTGAATTAATCATTCCACAGGCAGTTTTTATCTAAATATTTCCATACTGTCTAATTTTCGGTTGTACTCAAGAGCCTTCCTCTTCACCCTAGGGACCCCAACCGACCAATACCGTTAACTGTTGAATGGAAGCAGTACACAAAATCTGACAAACACTACATTGAATTCGGAGACGACATCGTCAGCAAAATGAACTTGAATCCAAAGCGCATGGAACTCTGGTTGAAGACTATCCCGCAGATATTGTCACGTGGTACGACACCGTCGCCTTCCTGTGCCAGTGGGCGCATTGGGACCGTGTTGATTCCCCTCGCTGTCTTCATCACGCTAGCATTAACCTTGCTACGTATAGTTTGAAAAAGCTCCCAGCAAATTTTGGAAAGTTATGAAATGAAAAGATAATGATATGAAAGTACCATGGACCCTTTTTAATATTTGTAACTTCATAGTTTATATAAACACAAGTGGCATACAGTATATACATGTACCTACTTTTTATATGACATTGGATTCGTGTATTCCAAAACGTGAAGAATTTATTTCATAAGATATACAATATAGTCCTCATTTCAAGTGAACAATTAAAATTCCCTAATTCATTATGTGTGGACAATAAAAATAACATAGTTTGATGACCTTGTGCTTGAATATCACAATCATATATCATGCTCGCTGTATATATAATTACCATACGCAATTACCTGAATCATTGCGAAAACGAAATACAACTTCTACTTTGCAATGATTTCTGCTGATTGCGTTTGATGAGCACACACATATATAATGCGAACCACCTACATGATGCTTACATTAGATAAAGTTTTGATTGCACCACATATCGAAATCTCCTAGCTGTAAAAAGCATGTCGCATCTATAACGTGACCTACATATAATCTACTTGTTTTGGACATTCGCGATTTACTTACCTCAGGGAGAAGATAACGTTTATGTTGGCGTAGTTAAATGTTTACCAGTTAACACCCGTACAACATGTCGGCGGTCTTTTTCATAATCTGTGCAGTCGTGGGAGCTTGGGTGAATTGCCAGGCTCAGATCTCAACAAGAAACGGACCAATCCAGGGGCATGCACTGACAATACAGGGGAAGACGCTGAACAGGTTTTTAGGGGTTCCGTACGCCAAACCGCCCCTTGGGGATCTTCGATTTAAGAAACCCCAGCCTGTGGAAAACTGGACTGGTGTTAAGAATACTACGGTGTTTGGGGACTCTTGTATGCAGCTTGTGACACCAGAGTTTCCACTTCCGAAAAAGGTATGCAGAGAGAGAGAGAGAGAGAGAGAGAGATTATATGCTGGGTAGCACAAGCTGCATGTTATAGTTGGTATGATTTAGCCAAGTGCAGCTTCATCTTTTCAGTCAGATCTTCACCTTAATCGCTCCCTTACATGCCTTGAATGTATTTCATTAAGGTCACTGATACTACGCAAATTGTACGGAAGTTAGCCGTTCTCTAGATTCGGCCTGCACCACGTATAAAATAACCACTGTACTATTCATGTAATTTTATGTACGTACTGGTACCTTAACCGAATCCTATAACAAAGGAAGGGTCTTGAATTTGTAACGCACGGCCTCTTTAATTTCGTTTGACCCCATTCAGTGGCGGAATAGCTGTCAGACAACAAACTATATTTTTTCATTTTTATGCATCCCTTTAAAACGCTATGAATAAAATAACCTAACTAGGCCTACTGGTACTAGTAGGACAATTCATAATTTTGCCTTGTTATTTTACTCTATTTATAAGTGAATATACCCTCTATACATTATAAGATGAAATGAAATAGAAAGTCGCATAACAGTAATTTTATTCCTTTCAGACAATCCAGACCGAATATGTCCATAATAAACATTAATCCACCGTATTATTTATATCAATATTTCTATCCGCAGATCTCGGAAGACTGCTTGACCTTGAACTTGTTCGTGCCAGGGGACATTCACATCAACAACAGTAAGGCAGTAATGGTCTATATACATGGAGGGGGTTATAACACCGGAGAGACGGATATACTCATCTTTGACACATTCGGTGAGTTTTGCACTTAATGGACGGTGCATATAAATATCACAATTCAGTCGTTATTGCCTCTGGTATCGAAGGAGGTTGAATTTTTATTGGCGTACAAATTGTATGTTAGTGGCCAAGATAAATGTATCTGACAAAAGTAACAATAATAAATGGTTTGTTGGGATAGTAACCATTTTGACTGACTCTAGGTATCTTACTATCGCCCTCGAGATTTTTTTTATTGAATTTTTATCGTGAAAGAAGCCTGGGCTTTTTGGGGCATTCTCAATATTTAAATAAGGAAATAAATGCTGTGTGCCGGGTATTAGTGCTGTATTAGAAAAAAAGACCACTGTTTATTATTATCTTTCATGTTGCAACCTTCAAGTGTTCGCCCCAAACATGGGGCTTCCAGGTAACAAAGCAGTATTGATGTATTTAATTACATTCAGCCTTGCAAGGTGACGTTATCGTAGTGACAGTCAACTACCGCTTGGGTCCATTTGGATTTTTGACCACTGGGGACGTCAACGCGCCTGGTAACGCTGGACTCTGGGATCAAATAGAGGGACTGAAGTGGGTGAGAGATAACATAGAAAACTTTGGCGGAGACCCTAACAGGTGGGTATGGAAGTATTTGTTGAAGACATTTTTGGTCCGAGACTATATATTTTTACTTTGCCGGTAACGAATGAACCAGGAGAGATATGTACATATATACTTATATGAGTAAATTCATTTGTGGAAGTAGAAAGTAGTCACACGAACTATTTTCCATCAGTGTTCAAGTATTTATTGATACGGAAAGTAGACGTCCTTTTCAATATCCTTAACAACTTAAAAACTGTTATTATACATTTAAAAACGATAATTTAATCTTATGCTGTTAATACAAGTCAAACCTATCAATCTTTACATGATGAATTAATTCCTAGAGTGACCATCTTTGGTGAATCGGCAGGTGGCGGTAGTGTTTCACAACTAGCAACGACCTTAGCCGCTAGGGGTCTCTTCCATCGCTTTATTTCCATGAGTGGCACAGCTGTCAGCGACTGGGCGTTCGTGGACGGATCAGCTGATATAGCCACCAAAATGGCCAACATATTAGGCTGTAATTCTTCGAAGTCAGACACAGCAAAACTAGTCGCCTGTCTGCGGGGCGTGGATAAAGCTCGCCTTCTAAATGCTAGTTTACAAGTGCCCGCGTATTCCACTGGGCTAACGTTTGCACCGGTTGTGGACGGTGACATGTTCCGTCAACCTGTGACAGAGTCTCTTCAAAACCCCGACTCAGAGCTGGTGAGGCATTTCCGCTCCTTAGACTACATGGGTGGATTTTTGAACTCGGACGGTGGAGGCATGCTACTGGGAATGGCTTTCAATTATTCGCAGGGAATCGAACCGCATTTGCTGCGTGATGAACTGATTCCAAACATCGCTAAAACAATTTCTACCTACTTTGAGTCGGAAGTCGCACAAGCAATACAACGGGTCTATTTTTCTTCGGCATCGGAGGACCTAGGTGCAAATGCACGTGGCTTTGTCAATCTCCAAACCGATACAGCGTTTGCGGTTTCTACCGTTAAATTTCTTTCACATCATCTCTCGTCCAGCAATGGCACTGGGTCTTCTTATTTGTACTACTTTACCAAGGAACCTTCATTTGGGCACTTAATACCTATGCCGGCTTGGTTTCAAGGTGCAAACCATGCCGATGACGTGGCCTTCATGTTACATGGTCAGCTGGATTTATCGGGACTGATAAATATAACGCTAACAGAGGCGGAGAGGGAATTTTGTACAAACCTGGTGAATTACTGGACAAACTTCGCAAAAAGCGGGTGAGTGATGATGTTAAACAGATACGTTACAACTTGTGTTCACCTAATACATATTTGAAAGAAAAAATAATTGTGCGATTGGTCAGTATTTATGAAACCATGGATATTGTTTTGTCATTAGCAGATATGAGTTTTTTTACATAATTCATTTTACTAAAGCTTAACACAGTTAAGATGTTAAAACAAATATCAAAATTATCACTTCGCGTTTTATTATGCAAAATATTGTGATATGCACAGATAAGTATAAAACTGCTTTTGCACATATACGAATTAAAATTTGGAATCGATGGTAACGCCCTGTTTTAAAGTTTGTTCTTTCTTGAACTTGAACTTCTGATTGTACAACAAATGATGATATTTAGAGAATGGCTCATTTGGATCTATACTTAATTTTAAAAAGTCATCGGCAGCGTTCAGTTGTGAACAAGTCGTAGCCGTCTTGAAAATAATAACGTTATTATGTCCAAGTAACCGGCAACAGCACTTCAATAAAATAAGGATCAATAATCATCATCAAGATCAGCCTAAAATTGTGTTATTTGCAGGAACCCCAACAAACCGGTTCATGTACCGACTGCTTGGGAGCAGTACACGGCAACAGGAAAGCACTACCTTGACCTTGGAGACACTATAGCTAGCAAAACAGACGTGATTCCACAGCGCATGAAACTCTGGCTGACGACTATCCCGCAGATACTGTCACGTGGTACAACACCATCCCCCACCACAACCAGTGGACACATTTACTGTTCTGCGTCATCAGTAGTCATTATAACACTGACATTAATTTTTCTGAAGCGTTTATTTTGAATAAACATATTTGTTACTTATGACTTTGCCAATTCTGAAGAAATTTACATCGCCAAAAACCATCTGTTGATTCTGTTTTTCACTCACGATATAGACTAATGGGTTATAAGTTTGAATTTAGATTTTTGAAAGTTATAATGATAACTGTAATGTGATATATCTGGATTTCAATAATCAGGTACATGCAACTTAATAATACACAATTATTTTGTATTGTTGTGTTACTATTATGTAGTTACAGTGTACCGTATATGTGATATACAGGCCCGTAGCCAGCAGTTTCAAAAGGGGGTTCTTTTCTGAAAAAGTGGACCTTTTACCTTGAAACCTTCGTGTACCGAGTTTACCTAGAGGGGATCCTTTTCCCGGCAAAAAGGAGGGTTGTTTTGAACCCCCTGAACTCCCTGAACCGCCCCTCCCCCCACGGGCCTGATATAAATGCATAAACCACGTCGTCAGCTCGCTTCACTCCTCGCTGCGGCGAACATAGGAGGGGGGCACCGGACTAACCGGCATACCTGAGGGGTGAAAGGTTGCAATACCTATCACTGCCCTCATTTCCCTGATGAGTCTGAATGTAAGCAGACGTAATATTGGCTTTTAAATATCAATTCATTTTTTGTATAGGTATAGACAAATTATAATTTATTGGTTATTTAAAACACATAGGTAATAAACCTGTTTAACTTTACCCCACTGCTCTTAAGTCATTGAAAGTTGCGTTTGGTATTATCTAATTGTTGGACGTTGACTTCATACAATTATTTACCTTGATAATAACAAGTCAGCAGTTAATTGTTATACATACAGATAAGGGCATGTGCTAATCTTGACGATATCCGTACTACTAGGGCGTAAGAAAGACAAAATGGAGGCGTGGAAGCTAGAACATGTCATAGAAGCTTTAATGTTATTTACCAGTATGCTGTTTGTTTCTGGTGTCAATTCACAAACACTTGTCACCATTACAAACGGTAAACTCGAAGGAATCAAGGAGTCGGTTCAGGGGAAAACGCTTAATAGGTTCATGGGGATTCCGTTTGCCAAACCGCCTCTGGGGGCTTTGCGCTTCATGAAACCTCAGCCGGCAGGTAACTGGACAGGTGTTAAAAATGCCACGAAACATGGCCCGTCTTGTATGCAGACTTGGGTGCCAGATTTTTACCAGGTACGAATGAAATATAAAAAAGACTGTTTGAAGGCAACATAAAGAATGCTTCTTCTAACAGTTTTAAGCTAGCAATGTTGAGACGTCACGCCTAAAAATGGATAGTGTTACTTGCACGCATGCAATTTATTCAGATTAAAATGCAGTCCACTGACCAGAGGTTCTAAGCAAACATCTGAGATTTGGAGCCTGATCTCGTATGCCCTTATTTTCACAACTAGTTCTGACTGAATGCTGGTTTTCTCTCTCTCTCTCTCTCTCTCTCTCTCTCTCATTTTCACCGGAACGAGTTATTACAACTAAGATTGTTAAGGGTCATGTTACATGTTAATATATATGAAGGGGAGGGACAACATGAGCGGTGAGGCACGAACAAAGTCCTGCAATAAAAATGTTTTAATTGGGACAAAGGGACTTCTTTCTTTCTCTCGTAAACCTATACAATCCAGACTTTTATTAATCCATCAGGAATACTAAATACATATTTAACGTAACAAGTATATGCAGGTAAAATTATTTAATTACTTTAACCTCGTTGTGCATTCCTATGTGTGTAACGGTTAAATAGGCAAATCAAGTTTGTCAGTTCACTGGCGTTCAAATAAAACTCATATCGCACTAATCCCTGTGTGTATCTTTGGCGTAGATTTAAATTCATTTGTTCTATATAAGCATAATGATTAACCAGAAAGGTTGGGTCTCAACTGATATATAATCTGTCCGTTACAAGGATCAGAGTTGCTCCATTTATTAAAATGATGATGACTGGATTTTCGATGTCAGAGGAATTAAAGATGCATACAAAGTCAATTTTTTTGCCACAAAAACCAACCAAATACCAGCATATAGGTTAAAGTAGTATAACTAAGGGAATTACCAAAAGGCATTGTTTAATTTTACCCGAAAACGATGTTTGAACAGATTTTTCTGCTAGCATTCTATGCTGTATGTCAATGGGGCAGAAAAGTAGGTTAAATTTCCGACCAAAAATTTAAAGTCATAATAACTCTTCGTTTTGGCCAAAAATTGGATTTTCCTGGAAAAAACGGCAATTTTTCCGTACTTACCAATGGTCAACGACCCCATTCCTGCATTCAAAGTTAATCCAGGGTTTTTTTCCTAAACGTACGGTTTTTTGTTAAAATCTCTTAAGAGATTTTAACTGACGGAGCTCTCTCTGACATTGCAAAGTCACTGGTGACCTACTTAAAACCGCGGGAAAAGCAGACAACAACAACACTATATAAGATTCATGAGATATATTCGTCTTTTTGTTAAAAATGCATTTATATCCACAATGTGTGCCATTCTGGGCTTTTCGTTATCCGACGCACTGTACAAAAACTCGCAACTTACGTCTGCGTCCGCATTAATGTGTTTGGCGCCATGTTATTTTGGTCTCGAATGAACGCGAGAATCCGCGTGACACCATTACGTCATTAGCAACGAATGCCCTTGTCGACCGGAAAAAAGGCATCGTAAGCCCTATTGACAAGCACAGATTTTAGTTTTCCTACAATAACGGCCGTTTTAGTGGTAAAATACAATAGAATATATTTCCATGCGTTGTTTACAATGTATTTCATGCGGAATTTTGAATCTCAAAGGAAGAGTTATTATTCCTTTAAAGAAAGGAGCAGTCTAAAGCTCTTTTATGGCTGATAGAGTGATATATTCAGTTTATCCCTTGGCATGTAAAATTTATTTGAGGCGTATAAGAAACTAGTAGAAGTGGTTTCCATGTGATACTGGGAATCTACACTCCACCGATGCTCGGTTCGTATGTATACCTTTAAGGTATACATGTAGGCCTATATAGATTTCTTATCCCTCCTCATATCTAAAAGTTAATCAATGCAGTCTTGAGAAGGGCAACTCATTCGCTCATACGGCTGCAGATCAACCGGAAATTCTTCCGCTCACAAATTTAAGCAGCAGTTAAAATGACTAGTTGTTTCCGACGAATGAACAACCACACATAAAATTTAATTGAAGTACTAGTAGACAATAAGTGATTTCCCTGCCCCATACTCTCTCTTTTATTTTAGTCGGAAGACTGTCTGACCCTTAACGTGCTCGTACCTGGAGTTTTCAATGCCAGCCTAAGTAAGGCGGTAATGGTCTGGATATACGGAGGGGGGTACAATATGGGTGGGTCGGTATACTATATATTTGATGACTTGGGTGAGTATTTACTGATTGATTTTCTGTCTTATATAAAATATATTTTAGAAGGACGCTGTCATTTTATTTGCATGCATTTTCAAAGAATTTTTGCACTCCGCATTTCCATGTAAAGTATATTCCAACACGTGTATCTCAAATTGGACAGTATTGATATACAATTAAAGGTGTACTGCATACGGAATTTGTGTGTCAGTTTTCATTCCCCTTGGGAAAAATGCTACTTCCTCCTACCAGTGAATCATTGTACGGCCCATTCTAGCGTTGGGATTCAATGTTTTGTATATTTCTAAATAACTTACTCCAAAACAAACCGTGATTCGTTTGGATCTCCGTTGTCTTCTTGACTTTATTTGAAGATATTAATCGTCGTTTAAAATGCCTAAATTCATTAGAAAGATGAAAAGTTTTGCAGAATATAGACATTAAAAATTCAAACGCTAAAAGTACGTGCATACCTTTAAGTAGCGTAACTGGTATTTTTGTAAACCAACGTCACGATCACTTTATCTAACCGAAATGTAAAACTTTGACACCCCAGCTGTGGAAGATGACGTCATAGTGGTGACAGTCAATTACCGCGTGGGTCCATTCGGATTCCTGAGCACTGGTGACGTCAACGCTCCTGGTAACGCAGGACTCTGGGATCAAATAGAGGGACTGAAATGGGTGCGAGACAACATAGCCAGCTTCGGAGGGGATCCTAATAGGTGAGTTATTGCTACGTCCAAATATATCATGTAGATATACTGCAATAACAGCAACAACAACAGCAACAGCAACAACAACAACAACAACAACAACAACGACGACGACGATTATGATGATGATATGCAGTAGTTCCAACCAGAAACAATTGAATTACACGACTTATTATTAAATACCGTCAAAACAATTGAAATGATAAGTTAGATGTAACATTTACACGTGAGATTATACTGGTTTAATGTATGTAAACTTAAAAGACAGTTATATAGCAAAGCCATAATTATTTAATGTATTGCAGAACAAAAATGCTCTAAAAAACACTTGCATCAATATTGTTCCTTATAAGTACATGTATATTTACAACTATTTGTGCATGTAGCATTCATTCATTCATTCACGAGGGATACATCTTACTCATTTATATACCGTCAAAGAGGTTGAGCTTCACATAAGAAACAGTATCTACATGTATCGACATGAATAGATCTTTATACCCGCCTTTTGCGCAGATACGAGCACAATAAAGGTGTTTTTATATCTACATATGCTTCTTTAAATTTAGGATTACTATATTTGGCGAATCAGCTGGTGCAAGCAGCGTTTCCCAACTTGCCATGACAACAGCCACAAAAGGTCTTTTCCATCGAGTCATCAGCCAAAGCGGAGCAGCACTGAGCCCATGGGCCTGGGTACACGATGCCATCGACGTTGCTATGACAATCGGTAATCTTCTCGGCTGTAACGCAACAACCACAGACACAGCAAAACTTGTTCGATGCTTACAAAACCAAGACTCTGTAGCACTAATAAACGCCAGCAGCCAAATCACTGCTGGGAGGACTTATTTCGGGTTTAGCCCTGTTGTGGATGGAGACTTCTTTCCTCGGTCTGTCACGGAACTGCTGAAAGATACTGATTCGGATGTGTTACGTCACTTCCGGTCTGTGGACTACTTAATTGGTTTCACTGATTCTGATGGTGGAGTCTTTCTCTTCAAGTTACCATTCAACTACACCTCAGGTATACCTGGAGACAAATTACGTGACACGCTCATTCCACAACTTGCTCTTCAAATTTCAGCGCTGCATAAGGATGAAATCGAGGCTAAGATGAAAGACATTTACTATGATCCCTCGGCCGACAAGGAGGCCACTGCCCGCCATTATGTGGATTTGTTAACGGATTTAGAGTTTGCAGGGCCGACGTTGACTCTTCTCACAAGCCACTTGACTTCAACCAACAAGTCGTCTTATCTGTATTTGTTCACGAAAATCCCGTCTTGGCAAAGTGCGCTATCATGGTTCAGAGGATCTAACCATGCCGCAGACATAGGCTTCATCATAGGTCCAAATGTTAGTCACACTACATGGAATGTGACCTTCAACGAAGGAGAGCGGAGGTTTTCAAGATCGATGCAGACATATTGGTCAAACTTCGCCAAAACTGGGTAAGAATTTAAAATGAATGTCTTTTCTTTCGTTAATTCGTTTATTTGTTGTTGATGCGCATGTTTTCTTTACTCTTCTGGCGGTTTCCCACCTTAAAAACTAAACAACGGTGATTTATACGAGATGGCTGTTCCACAACAATTTTTTTCTAGAACAAAGCTATTTTTCCTACTAATAAATCATTGGTTGACCCAAGCCTGCAGTAGGAGTCGATGCTATGATGTCCGGTCGACCTTATTCCGCACGTGTACTCGTAAACTACGCGATTTTGAAATACTGGCAAAATTACTGTAGTAGCAATAATACATGGGAACAACGGAAGCATGAAATTCACATACCTTGCATTAATACAAAACAAAAGTGTCATTATTGCGCACATGTTACAGACAATACAGCCCTGACTGGCTATTTTGTCGACGAAACCACTGCAAAAACGAATATCTCTAAAAATGCCTATGCCATCATTTTTTGACAAGGAAGAATTACCGACCAGCCAAATTCATTTTTAAAGTATTGATGCGAAACGTGTTTTAATTGTTACATGCTTGTATCTTTCCTTTTTGATCGTGTGTTTTAAGGTTCAAATTGCATACATAATACAGCTTGTTACTTATACCAGTAGCTTATTATAACATTTTCATTTTTTCTAGCAATCCAAATTTACCAAAAGCAGTTCCCACTGAATGGAAACAATACACAGATTCTCAGAAGCATTATCTAGAGCTCGGAGATGACATCACCAGTAAAATGGACGTGATTCCAAAGCGTATGAAATTGTGGCTTGAGTCTATTCCACAGATATTGTCACGTGATAAAAACGTCATACCATCGCCAACCAACATCAGTAAAGGCAATAACTGCTGGATGAGTTCGCTCGTTCTCTTCCTAGCTGGGTGTTTTTATTTTAGCATTATTTAACATTTAGATACTGATTCATAGAAAAATAACTATAGTTATTCCCCAGGTCACCTTTGATTTTCAGAATTTGTGATATTATACTAGGTTACTGATAGCATTGAGTATAAGTTGTGCAGTGTCGTCATATGAAGGAGCACACAAGCTGTCCAGTGTGTATGACGACATTCTCAATCCCACCCTGGGGGGAGAGGGCGAGAGGGACTAACAAGTCATCATCGAGACTGGGGTAATTACCTGTTCACCTCCACCTGAACAGGTTTCTTTGTTGTGACCAAGTCTGTCAGAGTGAACAGATGAAACAGTCAACAGGTAAATCAAATATCTGGATCTATCATAAATGAAAACTTTCTGAGTATTAAAACTATTTTCACATTTAATATTATTATGAATTGCGATAGAGAACCTCTATCACATTTGATCATACAAATGCTACTGGAAATATTTAAAGCGATACACCTATTCCGCAGCTTGCTTAGGGATGAGATGGAGGCTAACATAAGGGTTATTTACTATGATTTCTCGGCTGACAAGTAGCTGAAGGTCACTGCCTGTCATTACATGAATTTGTTTTCCAACTATAAATTAGCAGGGCCATCGTACGCTGACTGTTACGGACAACGTAATGACGCACTCATTTTTTGCATAGCAATATGTCAGAATATTTTAACCAAAGTATTGCATCATAATATGTCAGATTATTAATCAAAGTATTGCGTTTAACATGACGTTTTGATGCAATACTTTGATCAAATAATCTGACATATCATGCCATCCCTGTGTAACTTGGTTTTTGTCCGCCACTTGAGACCTTATGGTTTTAGGCTTTTGTAATATCCAAGCGTGTCAAATTGATTTTAGGCTTTTATATAGTATTCAGGTGTCACCTAGCGAAGTGATGGTAAATGACTCAGATATATAACACCTTTAAAATAAGTCAATAAAATATGCAGACGCCCTAATATATACAGTATCTACTTTCTCATTCGGATGTCGTTGCTAACAAGATTGGGGACACAATAATTGCTGTGCCAGAAGCCATAAATTTGCGGTGTGATTATTGCCTTGATAGATGTATCTAGTAGCGAACACAACAGTACGTGACGTTATCAGACCATGAATGATATAGCATTCTGCGTGTTATCTTATTTGAGGTTATAGGTATAGCGTAATGGTACCGGGGAGCTTGGAGGGTTACGTGTTACGAGCGTTTTGTGTTCTTGTTTATATCATTTAAATTCTAGATATAAAGCAACCACAGCATTACTTCTAAGGGACGCAAAAGGCGCATCTTTCATAACAAAGAAAAGTCACATAAGTTGCGCACGAAAAAAGCGAGGATGGAGTAAATACATGTGCTTTACTTTTAAGGGTTGTTACCTAAAATGTATACATGTATGCGCAACTGTTACTAATAAACTAGTTTTCTGAGACACCACAGAACATATCGGGCTGTACTAATATATGTAAAATATATCCATTAAAGGTTGAAGCAGGATATTGCTTGCCACAAGGATAAATTATTCGGGCTTCGTGCCCGTAGCCAGTTTTTTTTTTTTTTTTTTTTTTTTTGGGGGGGGGGTCGAAAGAGTCCCCTTTTTGTCGGGAAAAGGTCCCCTCTGGCTAAAATTTTATCTAGGTGCACGAAAGAATTCATGGTAAAAGGCCCACTTTTTCTGAACTAAAAAAAACTTGTTGCTGGCTACGGGTCTGCATGGACATGCTAACTGAACCCTTCTCAATTCATTGGAAAGTTGTGAAAGTGTGTGGTAGGAAGGCCTAGGTGCTTGTTTAATGCCAATTCTGTTAATAAAATTGCTGCGCTCTGAAATATACGGACCTAGTATAAGCAAATGTATAAATTAATAAATGCCTGCACGAGTTAAGATGTATTCATATGAAAATTACGGCGTTGCTAAATTGCTATGCCGACAAGATCAGACAATGATGACCGTTCTAAGTTCATATGAAGTCATTCGCTGCGAGACTGCTTTATCAGGGCGTCGATCTTACAGTTGTAAGACAAACTGAAAAAGTACTGCATTTTTTTAAAAAACATCTTGAACAGTCTGTCCAAACAACTTCTACAGGTGGATCCGTGTTCAACAGCTTCAACGACTGTTCTATACTAGTGCGTGGACTGCTTTGTGTACGAGGATGGTATAAGTCAACCTGTTGTACTAATTATAGTAAGTTCTGCTCAACATGGGGATTCGGAGTCGTCTTCCCGATGTTCGTATACCGTGGGTCTCCATAACGGACTTTCTGCTGGCTGATGTAGACAAATATGCAGACTTTATAGCAGTGGTAAGTGTTGCTGTCTCTCTCGCTCGTTCTCTCTCTCTCGCGCGCGCGAGCACACACACGCACGCGCGCACACACACACACACACACATTCTTAGAGAGAGAGAGAAGGGGAGGAAGAGAGAGAAAGAGAGCGCAGTTTTTCGAATATCAGTAGTTAAGCAGTCACCGTTTTGTTACTACATCATGTCGTACCTAGGGTATTTTCGTGAGATGGCGTACACGAACGTACCCCTGTAACCCGTACGGTAGTGATTTTATATATTTACTTTATAAATGCGTTGCATATTTTTAAAGCCAGTAGTATTTACATAAGATTTTCTTGATTGACCCGGTGTGGCAGAAAACCATCTTGTGTTCAGACCGTTGTACTCCTTTGATCGAAACTTTTTAAAAATGTATTAAAAGAGCACAAAGGGCCATATCAAAATCAGGAAATGTGTTCATTTATTTATTTGTTAATTTATCTATTTTTTCACTTATTGAAAGAGATGTACAGAATTATAGTTTCAGTGAAAGAAAGGGAAAATAATCAAACCCGTATCGACTTGCAAATGAACCCTAATCTGATGTTACATGTATATCCTTCAGTTTAACTTTTCATTTGAATTTGAACACGAGCTTCTTTTATCAGGTCGACACCCAAAGTGACATCAAATATACGTACGGTGACGTCAGAAACCACGTGAGGTCCATCGGCAGCGCGCTCACCCGTAAGGGTTTTCGAAAGGGAGACGTGCTGTGTATATATTGCCCGAACGTTCCGGAGTTTCCCTTAGTATTACTGGGAACTCTTGCTGTGGGTGGGATCGTTACCACTTGTAACCCACAGTACACAGCAGGTAAGACTCAGTGCCCGCGGCTGATACTTGCTTAATTTTTTTTGTCTTAGATCTTTTCTGCTGTTATAGAGATAACGTGCTTAATATGCATCTGGTTACAAAATAGCTGTTCTTTATTCATGGTTGTATGCATGTTGAATAAATAATGCAGCGAAAGGCAGTTTGTCATCATGGTTCTTACTTATTCTATTCATGTATTGTCGTTAGGTACAACGTAGGCCTACAAGAGTTTTAATGCAACTTTGCCCATTTTTTCTATGAATAGAAGAACTGGAAAAGCAAATGAATCTTGCGCATGTGCAGTATATAATCACAGTGCCTGAGTGTGCAGAGAAGGCCATCAGAGTTGCTGCTACAACTGAAATAAAGGTTTCTCATTCTCTCTCTCTCTCTCTTGGAGTCTCCCTCTCTCTCCCTCTCACACTCATTCCCGATTTCTCACCACTTTTACTTAGTGCGCGTAAGTTCACAAATCAGGGCTCCGTAACTTGAAAGCACCGCGCATTGCGACCGCCCATACTATAATAGCCTACATTGTAGCCTCTATGTGATATCGCTATTCGCAATACGCGATGCTTTACAGTTACGGGGCCCAGGGGTACATGCGGTTCATTCATCCATTTTTTCTCTCATTAGGCTGTGTACGTATTGGGCAGCGCCCAGGGATGCACCCCATTCACCGAACTTCTAAATGACAGCGGTTCTGCCTTCCCTGATGACGTCAACATCTCGCCGCAAGATGTCGCACTCCTCCCGTTTTCCAGTGGCACGACAGGCCTGCCCAAGGGTGTGATGCTCACGCACTACAATATTGTCGCCAATCTCTTGCAGTCGAGGTAGACCTTTAAAATAACACTGATTGTATCGTTGACTACGTTTTTTATTGTTAAGAGGGAATTATCATTGATAAAAACTACATATGAATATATAACATAACGAGCATACAAACTTACACGTAGCCTAGTAGGCCTACAAGCATTAGATCATTGGCAATTTTCATCATCCTTGTCTTTTTGATTATTCCTGTCAGATTGCATCTATCAGCATTAAAAATGTGCTCCTTAATTCTCCCATAACTGATTATCACGTAACACTTCGAAACAGTAAAAAAAACTAATATGAAATTTCATTTCTGAGATTGAAAAGAATTGAAAATATCATTTCAGAGATTTTATATACACCGGACGCCCTGGTGTAGATTTTGTCTTGGGGTATCTTCCTTTCTTCCATGGCTTTGGTTTACTTGTCATCAATATCGGATCGATCAAATTCAAACAGACAATTGTATGCATGAGAAAATTCGACTTTGAAGATTTCCTGGCCGCTATTGAAAAGTACAAAGTAAGCGCACATAATAATTATACTAATGTGGAAAAAATTATTGCAGAATTACTAATTGTTTTTATCTTAAAACGGGTTAAGTTGTCGCTGATAATGATTGCTTACAACCATGGTGGTTAATGACGTTATTATCTTGACACACATGGCCACGATGACCAAAAAGATAAAGCTCACATTTCACACGAGAAAATCAGATAATTTGATTGGTCATCTACGATTACATGAGAACATCAACGAAGATACCGTCAGGCTAATCTGTGGACGAACACCAAATGTGAGGGGAGATGGTCAACTTAGAAATTGCTTTTGACATTAAGATAATTCTGTATTCTAAAAAAGACATAAATGAAGAAGTTTGAGAACATACAACAGAAATTATCAATGATATCAAAATGCTACTACAGTGTAAATTTGCAGTACACGTTCAGTGATTGTCATACCAAAGTAATAGTGAAAACATACCTGCACTAGTACATAACTACGCTCAAGTACTAATATTAACAGCTGGAAAATACAGTATTTACCTGTAACATGGATTGACCACCTGCTTTAAAATTATTCCCAGATCCGGTATCTGTTTGCGGCGCCTCCAATTGTCATTAGGATGGCCAAGCACCCCAGTGTGGCAAAATACGACCTATCTTGTGTGGAAACCATCATGTCAGCATCAGCCCCACTGGGGAGTGATTCAGAAGAGGAACTGGAGGCGCGTCTTGGGACGTGTAGTCTGACACAAGGTGGCGACACTTTAGCCTTCAGGCTTTTGGGGAATGTACCAGTTGCGAATATTTCTCTGTCAGATGAATTTTTCTTCTTTTTTTTTTTTTTTTTTTTTGTTCCTTATTATTCGTGATGTTAATTTATGGATTAATAAGAGACCCAATATTTGTGGTAATTATTTTGATAGAATTTAATTGTTACCTGAAAAAGATGGCCCTATTTAGGCCTACTCAAACTTTATTACAGGTCTCGGATTTAAATTTTAACTGTTCAAAGTAAAACGCAATGGGATCGCATGTGATAATTACTCCATAACACATACCGTTATGACGTATTGTATTTTAAGGTTATGGATTAACAGAAACTGGTCCTTTCTGCTCCTTGCCACCACTTTCAAGACACTTAAGGCGACCAGGAGCGTCTGGAGTTTTAGTCCCAAATACAGAGTGTAAGGTGAATGAGGTTAACTTACTAGTACTCGTACCGAGCGTATACGTATACTTACAAGAGATTTGGACATGCATCGAAGCTTCCCGAGATATTCTGCGCGAGTACATGTAGGGCCTATATACCAACAAGGAATAAGATACAAAGTATATCTTTTCTAATTTCAATGCATAAAAGCTCACAATACAAGCGAAAAGCGGAAACGTCAACTTCTGCCTGCAAAGGTTATGAAAATTATATACACAAAGCACGCTCAAGAGATATATAGGCCTACTATTAATTTGTTAAACATTTCTCACATTGTTCACATTTCCCTACTGTTACAGCGTTAGAGATATACATTGTAATATGTGATCCGTCTTCAAACAATGCTTATAATGACAAAATGTTTCTTTCTTTGCACGCGTCCTTGACATATGACCATATTCTACACAGGTGGTGGACCCCATCACGAAGAAGGAACTTGGTCCAAACCAAGATGGCGAACTATGGTTCCGAGGCCCTCAAGTTTTCATAGGCTACTTGAATAATCCTGTTGCCACTGCGGCCACATTGGACAAGGACGGCTGGATACACACCGGTCAGCCTTCCCTGCTAATTTGAAATATTTGGTCCTGCATGGGTCCTTTGCAGTCAGTAGGCCTAATTACAAAAACATGAAAATAGGCCTATAGCCTATCCTACTGTCCGGCTACCGATGTAATGATGAGCCCCCCACCAAGACAAATATTTAACTTTTAATTTACCACTTATTAATTTATGGATAGTAAAAAAAAATCTAATTACGCTTAAGTAAACCTATTTCTGGCCCAGGGGTGGATCCAGATTATTTTAAGGGGTGGTCCGCGGATGCAAAGCCGACTCCCCCCCCCAATGCGTGGCGTTTAATGGTAGGCCTATTTTATAATGGCGAACTGTAGGCCTACCATTTGGTACGCTTTAGAACTGTGATTCAGTTAGTCAGACTTCTTTTTTCAAGAGGGGACCAATGTGAACTGGCTACTGTATTTTTTTTTATATTAATCTAATTTTGTCACTTCAAGTATTCATTTTTCTGTTAAATTTAGGTGACATTGGACACTACGACGAGGATCAGTACCTATATATCAAAGACCGTATTAAGGAGATGATCAAGTTCAAAGGGTTCCAGGTAAAAGGCTAGAGCCGTGACCAAAACTAGCATAAGGACGTAGTTTTTAAATCTCAACATTTACATGTACATAACGAACTACCAATTTGTGTGCTGTGATGTGTAAATCATTATCCGGCATTCTGTATATGTGTCACATACTCTCTTAAATTTTAAAACGTCGGAATATATATTTTTTTTTTGCTGACTAGGTGGCGCCAGCAGAGCTAGAGAGTGTCTTGGTAACCCACCCAGCGGTGGAAGACGCGGCGGTAGTGGGTCGACCTGACCAAGAGGCTGGAGAATTGCCCATGGCGTTTGTGGTTCTTAAGTCTGGTAGAATGACCACTGAGAGGGACATCATGGACTTCTTGGCAGGTAAAATAGCACTGACCTCGGCTGGTTATAATCATGCCGACTCGGTCAATACTATATTGTTAAAGTTTCAATATAGTGTTTTTTTTTTTTTTTTTTTTTTTTTTTTTTTTTTAGTTATCATTTTTGTCAATACTTTTAATAGATAACCAAAAGCTACATAAAATTTGATGTTAAGTCATAGTGCAATATTTTTGCAATTTGCAGTATATACGAGTACATGTATATTGCATGCATGGGCATTGGGCACCGATATAAAATATTAAACAAAAATTCCCACTGCACTCAACTTTGACCACATTTTCAGAAAAGGTGGCTCCTTACAAGCGTTTGCGGGGTGGAGTGGTAATTGTGAAGTCGATCCCTAAGACTGAGAGCGGGAAAATTCTGCGGCGTTTTCTTCGAGCCGGATTAAGGGAGAGAGTTGAAAAAATGAAAGCGAAACTGTGAGGAATTCGTCGTTGCACTTCCAAGAGGTTGGATGCTCTGACGTTTAGATAATTTAAGCTAATTAACAGAGCCACAGATGTCAAGGACAAATATCATTGTGTATTAGTCATATCATAGAAAACATAATCTGCTGAGATATTATTTCCTAAATATTTGAAGTTAATCAGTAATGGCCCTGTGGTTGGGGAATATGTTTATTGACTTGTCATTTGCTTGCTCGAACTAAACTGTCTCTTACGGGCTACATAATGACACACATACCCAAACTTTCTGCAAAGAAATCTGTCAGATCAATTTAATCAAAGTATCGCATCATTGTGTTACACCATCCGTGCGTGGTACAGTCGTAGGAGACACGCATTTTTTTTTATTTGTATGTAGTAGTAGTAGTAGTAGTAGTAGTAGTAGTAGTAGTCAGGTGCCACCTAGCGATGATTAATAACCCTGATAGCACCCCCCGCCCTCCAAAAAAAAAAGTAAATAAAATATGCAGACGCCCTAGCACATATCTACTACCTTTATTCTGATGTCCTTGCTGTCAAGGTTGAGGACACGATACTGCCAGTAGTCCCACATTTGAGTTGTGATTATTGCCCTGATAATTACAACTAGTAGCGAACACAGCAGTACATGGCGTTATCAGACCATGAATGAAAAACATTATAATCTCGCGGTTAATTATAGCTTAATGGTACCGGGGAGCTTGGAGAACTACGAGCAAATTCTTGTTTATATAACATATAAATAAAGCATATAAGAATACAGCATATAAATGTTGATATAAAATACTACCTTATTAGTTCTTAGAGACACAGAACGCACATCTTTCATACCAAAGGAAAGACAAGTCACACACACACACTCACACACACACACACACATGGTTAAACAGGATATTGCTTGACAATAGGTACATTCCAGCCGGCAGTAAAGTCAGTAAACCCAGACCAGAGTCGAATCAGTGGAAACTTGTGGGATTATGTGAAGGACTGTGCAGTCTAAATTACTTAATACCTGCACGTGTTTAGATAATAATATATAAATAACGGCGTTGTAAATTTTTTATGCAGTCATGATCAGACAATGATGCTCTCTGTCCATGCATTTGAAACGATTCACCGCATGACTGCTTTACTAGAGCGTCGAAAAGGTAAAGTTCTTTTTAAAAAATATCTTCAACCAATCTGTTCAAGCGACTTGTACTGTACAGGCGGAGTTATTCAAGGCCATCCGTGTTCAACAGCTTCGACAACTGTTCCGTACTTTTATTTGGACAGTACGCACAACCAGCGTTGTGTAAGGGGAAGATATACAGTAATTCACAAAGTTGTAGTAGTAAGTGTGAGTTCGGCTTAACATGGGGATTCGGAGCCGTCTTCCCGATGTGCGTATACCGTGGGTCTCCATAACGGACTTTCTGCTGGCTGATGTTGACAAGTACGAAGAATTTATAGCAGTGGTAAGTCTCTCTCTTTCTCTCTGGGTTGCAGATTTTGAAAGCCAGTTTTTAAATCAGATTTTCATGATTGACCCAGTGTGGTGTGACGAATCTCTCTTGTGTTTCGACTGGTGTGTGCTCCTTGTAGTTTTTTTGCTGATTGAAAAAGGAAGTTCAGAATCATAGTTCCATTAAAAGAAAAGGAAAGTAGTTAAACAGGTTGCGGTTTGCAAAATAATCTGTTGAGGCCTACCGGTGTTATTTAGTACTGTACCCTGTAATATTATACATATGAAAATTAAGGATCAGCATATTTTAAGATTTACATTGACATTGCTTTACCACATGGTGTTACATGTGTAATCCAATTTTCTACTGCTCAGCGATTCACACACGTTCACACACACACACACACACACACCTTTTCCTCCCTACGGGTTATATATCCACTATCCCCTTATCTCCTTGAACGAGTTCTTCTTTTGACAGCTCGACTCCGAAAGTGACATTAAATATACGTACGGTGACGTCAGACACCACACGAGATCCATTGGCAGCGCGCTAACCCGAAATGGCTTTCGAAAAGGAGACGTATTGTGTATATGTTGTCCGAACGTTCCCGAGTTTCCCTTAGTATTACTGGGAACTCTTGCTGTGGGAGGGATCATTACAACCGCTAATCCGCAATGCACACCAGGTAAGAACCAGGTTAATGCTTTCTTAATTGTTTTCTTTGCCTGAGATCTTTGTACTTGGTTACCATGCCTTTTATATCTGGTGACAAAATGGATGTCATTTATTGATAATTGTACATGAGTTTAAGTAACACTGCAAAGACAGAGAGGTTACCATCATGTTTCTTATTTTGTTTATATTCAGTTACAAGAGTCTGAGAATATTAATACAATATATTTCCCTTTTCCGTAAAAAGAAGAAATCGAAAAGCAGATAAAACTTGCGCAGGTGCAGTACATGGTCACAGTTCCAGAGTGTGCGGAGAAGACTGTCAGAGTTGCAGCTGCAACTGGAATAAAGGTCGGTAACTCTCCCTATCTCGTTACCTCTTACTGAAATGAGGCTTAATAAGCCCATAGCCCACAATGTGTCTACGCGGTTCATTTATCTTCATTCATTCGCGGTTCATTTATCTTATTTATTAGGCTGTGTACGTATTGGGCAGCGCCCAGGGATGCAGCCCATTCACCGAACTTCTAAATGACGACGGTTCTGCCTTCCCTGATGACGTCAACATCTCGCCGCAAGATGTCGCATTCCTCCCATTTTCCAGTGGCACGACAGGCCCTCCCAAGTGTGTGATGATCACGCACTACAATATTGTTGCCAATCTCTTGCAGATGAGGTAGACCTTTTAAACAACAAAGTTTGTATAGTAGGCAACGGTTTATTGTTACTTGGTGGACATTTTCATTGACCACACATAATATATACCCTCATACCATTATTTGTATTTTCTATAATGTTTTTGATTATTCTGTACGTCAGTTTGCACCCATCAGCATACAACGCATTACTTATTATTCATATTATTGGTGATCATATTTCATGCCACATCCACAGACTTTTGAACAGGTATTCAGCCTTATATGTAATTTTATTTTAGAGATTAAAAATGTAAAACAAACATTTCAGAGATTTTATATACACCGGACGCCCTGGGGTAGATTTTGTCTTGGGGTATCTTCCTTTCTTCCATGGCTTTGGTTTAGTTGCCATCAATCTCAGAACGATCAAATTCAAACAGACAATTGTATGCATGCGAAAATTCGATTTTGAAGACTTCCTGGCCGCTATTGAAAAGTACAAAGTAAGTTCATTTATAATAACATGCTGATGTGAAAAAAAAATTATAACAACGTTACTAAATATATATTAGTTATAAAAGTAGTAGCGCACACACATGGGGAAATTACGACGCACAAGTACTAACATTAACAGCTGGTAAATACAGTATTTACCTGTAACATGGATTGACCACCTGCTTTAAAATTATTCCCAGATCCGGTATCTGTTTGCGGCGCCCCCTATAGTCATTAGGATGGCCAAGCACCCCGGTGTGGAAAAATACGACCTATCTTGTGTGGAAACCATCATGTCAGCAGCAGCCCCGCTGAAAAGGGATTCAGAAGAGGAACTAGAGGCGCGTCTTGGGACGTGTAGTGTGACACAAGGTGGCGACACTTTATGGCTTTCATGTCTTGGAGGAACGCATCAGATGCGAACGTTTCTTGATTTGAAACATGCGTTTTTCTTTCCTTTTTAATCTCGTTCCTTTAAATGATATATTAGTGGTGTTCATTTATGAATATGAGTGACACAACATTTGTGGTGTTCATTTTGATTGAATGTGATTGTTACATGACGATGGAATTATTCACTCAAACATACAGGTCTCAAATTATTTCAACATTAACTGGGTTAAAATAGAGTAGGATTTCACCAGGTGCATGCATTTACTCCTTAAAATGTGCCATTATAACCTATTGTATATTTAGCTTATGGGTTAACAGAGGCAGGTGGTTTCTGCTCTTTACCCCCACTGTCAAGACACTTAAGGCGACCAGGAGCGTCTGGAGTTTTAGTCCCAAATACAGAGTGTAAGGTAAATGAGAACTTACTAGTACCGTTCATGTACGTAGTGGTGTAATACAAGATTTAGGGACCATTCCCACAGATATTTGGATCGATCTATCTCCCTGGGGAGTCTCACTAAATTGCTATCAACTTAACCAGCTTAAATGTCTATCACACCTTGTAAAGCTGTTAGGGGGTAATCGTTTTTACCCCATAGCTGATTCGGTAGGCGTGACAGACTATAAAGGTTAAGTTGATAGCAATTTAGTGAGACTCCCCAGAGAGTTAGACCGATCCAGATGGATCGATCTAGGCATGGGAACCCAGTCCTAGATAACAAAACCCATTGAATCATATATATAACACTATAAACAATAAAGAATTACATTCAAAGTGTATCATTGACAAAATTTAATGCATGTAAACTGCCCGCGATATATTTTTATGAGAACAACATCAATTTCTGCCTGTTAAGATTATGATGTATACACGGTATGCTAATATGATTTTATGCTGATTATTTGGTTGACTTTTTTTGGATTGTCATTTTTACTAAGTTAGAGACATGTGATCTATTTTCAAACTATGTTAGGCTCCTAATATTGCACATGTACAAGACTTCTCTTGTATCTGCTATAGGTGGTGGACCCAAGCACGGGGAAGGAACTCGGTCCAAACCAAGATGGCGAACTATGGTTCAGAGGCCCTCAAATTTCCATGGGCTACTTGAATAACCCTGCCGACTCTGCGACCACCTTGGACAAGGAAGGCTGGATACACACTGGTCAGTTCGATTAGTCACTCCGGATATTCAGCGAAGTCTGATTGGTCTGTCTGGATATTTTGTGCAGTCTGATTGGTCAACATGGATTTTTAGCGCGGCTATGGTCTAATGTAATCACTTATTTAAAAAATCCAGCCGGTTATTCGAATTTTTTGTCCGAGCAAACAAGGAAAATATGTAATGGTAAATCTATTAATCTTATATTATTGATCCTCCGTATTGGTAATCTAAGGCAATTGCACCACGTTAATTGGTGACAGTTCCGGTATTCATTAATAATTATCTATTCATTTTCATCATTTCATCTTTTTTATATTCTGTAAAATTTAGGTGACATTGGGTACTACGACGAGGACCAATACCTATACATAAAGGATCGCATTAAGGAAATGATCAAGTTCAAAGGATTCCAGGTAAGAGACTTAATTTGCTACCTACTTGGCAAGGGAATACAGATTTTGACGTAATTTTTTACTGTACTTGTTACTGATGGTAAATATAAGAAAAATATTTCAGGAGGGGCATAAGGAAATTGCGTCTGCGACTCGAACCTACACATATTTGTGCAAAGTAAGGTGTACAATCTGCTTAGCTACTTAAACCAGTGGCCAGTTATAACGTAAACAATAGATACAGCTTTCCCTGCGATGTAAATGGATGCAGATGCTTAAATGCAATTGGGAATACATCTGAATAGAAAGAATCTGCGCTATATATTGAAAATATGCCCAAGGTGAACAATTTGTCACAATTGCATTGTAGTACATGTAACTGCAGTAGTTACACGGACATATATGGTCTGGAAAGTTCGTGCAAGTGTCACGAAGATCTTTCCTTCAAGATCTGTTGTAGATAAATAGTAATTAGAGTTGTAAAGATATGTATTCTGCAGAGTCTGTTGAGTTTTATCTATAACAATAGGCCTATATTTGTCCCCGTAGTTACACTTACCGAAGACTTTTGGATGACAACTGATCAACTTCTATCAAGTAGTGCCAACATCACTGTGGACAATACTGAAATGCCACCTGAAATTAGTGTCTTTCCAATACACACATAAAAAGAAATTAAATGTAAAAATTATTACATTAGGATTTTTGCCGACTAGGTGGCGCCAGCAGAGCTAGAGGGCGTCTTGGTAACCCACCCAGCGGTAGAAGACGCGGCGGTAGTGGGTCGACCTGACCAAGAGGCTGGAGAATTGCCCATGGCGTTTGTGGTTCTTAAGTCTGGTAGAATGACCACTGAGAGGGACATCATGGACTTCTTGGCAGGTAAAATTACGCTGACCTCCTACACGTGGGTCACTGTTATAATTAGCCCCTTCCAATCTTTAATTGTTTTTAAGTTTCAAAAATGTGTTTCCTTTCCTTTTCTCTTTTATTTTATCCTTTGATTTTTTTATAAATATTATTAATACACGGGAAAACGTTACATGAAATAATATATGTATATTTGATAATTTCAATTTGGATTTCTCATTCAGTATCAGATAAAAAAATTTGAAGAGCTTATAATTTCTTAAAACTTTAAAAAGTACGAATTGCAGTTTGTATGTATTTCATGTATGGACTTTTGGCACCGATCTAAACATCTTCAAAAAAGTTCCCACTGCTCTCAACTTTTACCACATTTTCAGAAAAGTTGGCTCCTTACAAGCGTTTGCGGGGTGGAGTGGTATTTGTGAAGTCGATCCCTAAAACTGGGAGCGGGAAAATTCTGCGGCGTTTTCTTCGAGCTGAATTAAAGGAGAGATTAGAGAAAATGAAACCAAAACTCTGACGAATTTTATGGGTTGTACTTCCGTGGGGATGGATGCTTTGACTTTTGAAATGCCTTTTTATCTAATTAATAGGACCACTTACATTTTGTAATTTTGATACATTCTCTCCGTTGAGTGACGGGATTTGAGGTTGGAAGTAAATCACGCGACGCCCGCAGACAGTATTTATGCATGTACATCTGGGTCTTGATATCGTGGTTCAGCCACGGACCCAAGCCGTGAACAGCAATTTGGTTTATGAGCCAAATGCATATTTGATTTATTTTGAACAATAAAAAAAAAGCTTGTTATTTAGTTTATTTACCTTCCCTTTATTTAAGCCCCTTTTTAAACCACAGTGACTTTTTTCATAACTACACAACAACGAATTCCTCTAACAGCTAAAACAGATTATCTGGCAAAAGCAAACCCATTTTAAAATATAAAGTGAATAATACACTGGTTCATAATAATAGATGTTCCCATTACAACCCAAATGAAAACCTCGTTTGAATCAAACATAAAGTCTGTCAAGATATTAATAATTCCTAAAACATTTATAACCCCCCTTTACAAACGATGTAACACACACCTACCTTTCAAGTCTTGAATACATTACATGTCTGTTTCGCCACCCTTTTGTTCGTTAAAAACATTTATCCTCCCGGATTAAGCGGATGAAAACACGTTAAAACAATAGACCATAATAAATGCACTATTATCTTTTAGTAACCATGTATGTGTCACATGTATGTGTCAGATCCCAAACTAGTCCAGTTACTAACTAGTCCAGTTGCTAACTGGACTAGAGCACTTCCCAATTGGGATCAGGTCTAGGTCAGATCCTGATTGGGTCTTTATCTTTTTAACAGCATAATACATCTTAACTAACTAACTTACTAAAGAGCAGGTGAAATTAATTTGTCTGGTGTTATTAAGTCATAAACACACCAATGGGCAAGGGCCCTCACACGCATGCATCATTAGCAGGAAGTGCCCTACAGCTAATCCATGACGCAGGGTCCTTAAAGTGTCCAAACGCAGATCATTGACGACTGCGACCAGTGCAATCCCGGCGGGCAGCACTGGTGATACGGTATGTTATTAGAACAATGGTAGTAGCAGTTTACATCGTTAGGGTCAGGTTGGAACTGGCTGTCGCCACATGTAATAGCACCTGGAATGAAATTCTGACATTGAATGGGAAAAAGATTTAGAAATGTATTAATGTGATTAAAGAGACAGTACACTGGTTTCAGATAAATGCAATCTTCCTGCTAATTTTATAGATAGCCTGTATTTACATCTTAAAGACAGGTTTTTTCCAATGAAATAATGTTATTAATAGTCCAAATCCAAAACCTAATTGCTTTTACTCTTAAATCAAAAATGCAAGAGATGCACACCAGTATACATACAGGGGTAGCACCCTTTAAAGTAAAGTGAAGAAAAGGAGGTATTTAACACATCTTAATGCGATTATCTATCTGTATAGGGAATCAAATTCTGATATTGAATATAGTTAGAATGGAAACTCCAATTATAATCTTTGTGCGAAATCCCGTAGCCTATATAAGACCTCGAATGCTATATGCGACATAATCATTATCATTCTTTACACTAATAAATTGAGTTGAATCAGCATGAACAACTGAGGCTGCAGATGAAGTGATGTTTCTCTTGATTAACCTGCTGTGGTAGTAGTTGGCGTTGTTGTAGTTGTAGGCACTGTGGTACTAGGCGTTGTTACTGTGGTATTTGTTGGTGCAGTGGTAGTCGTTGGTGTCGTTGTAGTCATTGGTGTCGTAGAAGGCAATGTGACTCCACCTATCCCTTGCCCAGGTGGATAGATAGCAATATCTGCGCAGTCGTAGAACTCTTCCTGTGGACCGTCAGGGTCTGTACCCCAGCTGTCCCCTGGAAGATGTATATAAAGACATGCGCATGGTTGAGCAGAAGGCCTACTTTAATTAAATGTCATAGAACGAATCGTTTGAAACTGTACATTGAAATTTACATTACTGTATAAGTTTTTGTTCAGGAGAAAATACATCAGAAATACTTTTAAACAAACATTACAGTTGAGAAAGTTCTGTAAAAAATTATAAGCCCCAAGTTTACTATGTTACTTAATATTTATTTATATTTATCTGAAAATATTGCAAATAATTCCCCCACCGAAATCTCGATACAATTAACGTTATGTACCTTGATTTTATCTATATATATAATGTTCAATTTAAGCGTAACCTAATTTCCCCAAATGTGAATTCACATGTCACTTGTATTTTTGTTAAAATTAAGGTCAGTTAAGCGTGACGTCATTTCCATAAATATGACGTCACACCACTCACCGGTGTGCCATTTCCATTGCAGCACACATTGTGTACAGGTGACGTAATCAGGCAGTTTGGCCATTAGGTACACCTTGCCCCCTGTCCAGGCGCTATTTGTTTCATCCAAACTCTGGTATCGGTTGACAGTTGTCCCATTAGCATGCAGGTATATCGGAAGTTTATATTGGTCCAGGCACTCCACGCTGACGGGGGTGTTGGGATCGTTGTGTGGGCAAAGTCTGACGAAAATTAAATCCTACACTAATCATTTATTATCTTGTAACAAGCACTTTTCCTTGACGCATGTGAAGATCTTTGTTCTGCACGTTTCATTAAATATTTTCTTAAAAGGGTTGATAGAAAATATTACTAGACAGTCAGCACATCTATATGCGCTTTTAAAATCTTCAAACTGTATCGTGAATTGATTTATTTTGACGTACAGGATAAAATATTGGACGTATAGGAGTGTTGGTAGCATATATTTTATCAAGATTTACTTGTATTACCTGTGCACTACTTTTGTGTGATTTTTATCCATCGACTATTTACCTAAATTCATACCACCCTTTATGCGGTGCTGTAATTTCTATTACGATTGGTATATACTCTCCCATTGTATACTGCCGCACTAAGGTCCCCGTGTCGTAAAGCCCTCCAGCATCGTTTTGATAAGGTCCTTGCCAGGGGTCGCCACATACGCCACACTTTCCGCCTTGCACGTTCCATTGGTTCTGAAATTTTCGGAAATATGGCCATTTAAGTAACTCAGTATCTTAAACAGGACAAAATAACTCGTCAAGTTTGTCGTAAAGCGTCCTATTTGCACCCATACTTAATAGATTAATTTTTTTTATTGCATTGACACTTGCATGGACTGTTATTTCATGCTTCTCCTTTAGCTTAAAAAATCGCAAATGTAGGCCTATGTCGTAATTCCAAGAACCCATGTGTTCAGTTTCACGCGGCCTCACATGGTTAAAAAATTATTGGAATAATCTGATTGGTTCGGGAAGAAACCGATTGCTACAAAAGGATTTCGACCACTGCCCGGTGAGCTGATGGAAGTGGATGACCGGAAGAAAATGAGTTTTGACCTTACTGAGCATTACAAAGGACGATGGTTTCATTTGCAAGGTCCATGTCTTTTCTTCCGCCATAAGAATAGGGAATGAGAGTCTTGACAGTAGCCAAATGTAGGGAACATCTTTGTTGTCATTTTCCTATCTTTTATTATTTCTCGAATAAAGATTTTTTCAATGGACATTCTGAAACCTGGTTTACGCACGGTGAAATATAACTGAAATTGAATGGTTTTTTAATCCGAGACATGGAGTTAAACTCATGACTTCAAAGATCATATCGACCAGTCAGACGTGTTCACTCATGATATTCTTAAATGGAGGAAGCCCCGAACGAATTTAATTTTGTATTATTGCCACCAAAAATGTTCAAACAGAGCAATATTACAAACTGAAAAAATTCTACATATAACATATTTTACGAAAACGATCCTTTATGGGATTTCTAAATCAAAACACAAAACAAAAGAAATCACTGTAAGGAAATAATAATAATAATAATTTACATCAAATCCGCCACAGTTCAAGTCTGTGTCGTCAAAGTAGTTCGCCGGTGTGTTAAATCCCCTACTAAAAGCAGTGGATCGACCTGGCGGTTCGTACAGTCTACCACGGCTGTGAACAGGCGAGCACTGCAAAGCGAGGAAGACCAAGAGAGGCAAAGCCAATCGCAGTCTGGTCGTAGCCATATCGTGCTGCATGTTTGCCAAAATCAATATATGTTCACTCTTTGACAACTTTTAGGTTTTTTCAATTCGACTTCGAGCGTAGGCTTCTGAAATGGAAATGGTTTTACGTTTATCAACAGGTAGTTCTACTCGGAGCTATATATATCAGTGGGCCACATTTCGGAAGATTGCAGACCTTTGTTCTTTACAATTTGTCAACTATACAGCAAATCTAAATGTTAAACTTCTAGTTCCTCTTAGAGCGATTACCACAGTTTCATACCTGTCATCACGCCTTGCAGTTCAGATGATATAATGGTACGCATAAATTATTTCTATACCAAAAGATATATCGATAAATAAAAAATAAAATAAAGCATAAAAACACGTGGCAAATTCTACAGTGTTAAGTGACACAGTTGTACAGAAAGATTAATAAGTTTTATTACAAATATTTATATTTTTTCTTTCGATTCTTTGTTTTAAATTAAAATTTACCAATGTGTCCACAATTTGACGACTTTGCAGTTGAAATGGGGGAGTCCTCGGAATTGTGACTGCATGTTGAAAAAACACTTTAAAAAAATTGATAATTTACATGGAATAAAAACCTCTAAATCCCTCAGCTAAGTCAATCAAATAAACCATTCAACCCCCAGAATCTGAGGGCATCGAAAGAATTGTCTATAGAGACTGGCGTCAAGTATGTATGTTGTCGTTCTTATATATATATATAGGCCTATATATAAAAGAAGCTGTCATCCAGAAATCGGTGCCGTTTCTAATAAAAAATAATAATAATAAATAATAATAAAAATCATGCTGGCATTCAGAAGCTAGTGTTTCCAATTCCTAACAATAAGGTCACAGCTGTGATTGGTGTATCCGGTTAAAACTGGTTCTTTTAGGCCTGTAACCTTGATGGGTTAATCGTTCATGCACAACCAGGCGTGGGCTAGGCGTCACCTTGATCGGTTAATGAACCTGATTAAAGACTTCAGACGGCTTTCTGCGTACCACACTAGTCTATCAGAACCCCTGTATGTACGCTAAAGTAAGCATTAAACT